TAATCCATCAATATTTTTTATATATATTTTTTTAAAATATATATTTAATTATATGAATACTTTTTAAAGTTTTTATTTATAAATTAACATTTTTAATAGATAAATTGAAAAAATTACTATATTAATGTGTTAAAATATCTAATTATAATTAATAACTTAAACTTAATTAATTAATTTTTATAATTTAAATTATAATATCATAGTGTATTTATATATTTTAACAACATAACACAAAAAAGGTAAATTTTTTAATTATAATCCTTTTTATTTTTATTTTAATATATAAATATTTTTTTTAAGAGAGTTAGCAGGCTAGCCTATTCCGTTCTGTCGATTGACGGACTAGGACTAGGTGGGACAAGTCAAAACGGACTGACGGGTTAAAACTAGTAACCTGTCCTGCTATTTTTAAGATAGGTTGGCATATCAGCCCATGAGACCTAATTCATTTTGTCATACCTAATCACTAGCTCCTTATAGGGGTTGATCTTTAGGAGGATGGTTATCTATATCTCTTGGTCAAGGTTCCTGTTAATCCTCGGTTCGCATAGGGCAACGCTTTTCTCGTGACGGATAACTTCTTTCTTGCCAGTTGTGTCCCTTAATGAACTTATGCAAGTGTCTCGCTTGTATAAGATCCCTTATTTTATCGTTCAACGTGACACATTTGTCTATGGCATGCGCATAATTGCAATGATATAGGTAGTGCTTGTTCTGGTAGATGTTAGGCGATGTTGGTACCTTTCTCAAGGTGGGCATAAGATCGATGTTGAGCACTTCTTCCAACACCCTTGCTGGATTGGTGCTAAGGGGTGTGTATTATAGCAATCTTGGTTCGTGAGATTCTCTCAACCTTATTTTCTACATTCCTCCTTTATGGGAACATCTCGATCCGCATTTTCTCACAAAATTTCATCAGTTCTTTGAGTTGCGTAAATTTAGTAGCTCAATTTCTAAAGCTCATCCAAGATGGTGACGAGTGTCTTATAGAAGCTATCCAATAAGGGCATAGGCTTCAATGTTGTTACCATGTGGTGAAGGGCAACCTAAGGGTTTAAGATTTTGATGTTGAACTCCATTTTGTTGAATATGTCGATAAAGGTTTGAAGCAATTCCCTTTTATCCTTCCAGATATTAACTAAAGTTATTAATGTAAGGTAATGGGATCGGCTCGTGGCGAATTGTGTGTCAAATCTAGCCACTAAGACTTCAAAGTTATCACTAGTGTTTGGAGAAAGACTTGACAAAAAATGATATCTTTCGTGGTGTATAGACTGACCTGTGTCACGTATATATTATTGACTTGTTTATTGGATCGGTTGACCCATCATACTTTTTGAGTGATAGATTTTCCAAGTTTCTGCAAGGAATTTTCCATAATCCCATCCACAAATGTGTTCCTTCGCTGTACCTTGACTTATGAAGATAAATGTAAAGATGTATGGGTGTTTATCCGAGGATAATCAACAAAACACGATGCTATTCGCCCGGCTAGTAATCCACCCATGCCTTCAACTTTTACCACAACTTAATAAGGCATTGGTGAAGAGCTAATTTTTGGAGAAAATGAAGTCAGCTCTAATGCATCCTCAGATATCAGGAAAGCAACCAAGTTAGCACGGTAGATGGTTACCAAATATGGCAGGGGCAATGAAGTTGGACTAGTTTCTCACGATTACATTGATGATAAGAGGAGCACGAGCTCAGAGACAAGGCTTCTCATGGAGAAAGAGGCTTAAGCAATTTTTGGATAGGGCTTACTCCAATGCAAAAACCATTCTGACCACTCACAAGAAGGAGATTCATGCACTTGCAAATGCTCTTTTGGAGCACGAGACCCTCACAGGAATTGTTTGCCCAAGTTAGATCTCAGATACAACATCAGCAGCCACAAACAGTTGAAGCTCAGAGCAGTTCACAATCCAACACTGAGCCTCCATCATCGAACAACCCTGCCATCACCATTGTCGCAGCCACAGCTACTGCTGCTGTCGCCAAGACTACAAGTGCTCCAGTTGGATCTTAGCAAAAGATGCTAGAGACACACAACAAACATAACTCGTACTGCCAAATTGAAAATGTTCTTAACAGTAATACTATTATTATTATTATTATTTGTAATATTTATTATATTAATATAATTGATAATAATTTTAATAATAATGGTATTAATATTAATATCATTAGTATTAATAATAAAATAATGTTAATCCTTTTAAGAGTAATAATAATATTAATAATAATAATAATATTACTAATACTAAAATATTGTTATTATTATTTTAGTATTAATAATTATAAAAAAATATTTATAATAATAATATTATTAAAATTAATATAATAATACTTATTATTTAAACTAGTAATACAAACATAATTCTTATTTTATTTTATTATATAAAAATAATATTAATAAAAGAAATAATACTTGAACATACTAAAATTATTAATAATATAAAAAGTATTATCAATACTAATATAATATAATAATAATTATTAAAATGTAAAAGTTAAAGTTGTACTATGATAGGATTTCTTTAAATATTTTTTTTAACATATATATACATATACATATACATATATATATATATATATATATATATATATATACATGTATACATATATATATATATATATATACATGTATAAATATATATATATATATATATATATATATATATATATATATAGAAATCGAGTTATGAAATAGATTTTTCTATTTTGAAGTTGTATTTCACATCCAAAAGCGTTTTTTTTTTAAATTTATCCATCAATAAATTAAAAAAAATTACACATCCCCGAATGAAAAGATTATTTATTTTTCAGATGGAGATTCATTTAGTTATTATACGTTCGATATATGAGAAAGAAGTAGAAAAAAATAATGAAAAAAATTAGTAAGAAATAGAATTGAAATGAAAAATGTTTAATTGGATAAAAAATGAAAAAAAAAAAACATAATTGAATTTACTCTAAAAAAATCTCAACCCGTTGACGCAAGGATCCCTCGAGTCAGTATGAGTTTGATCAATTTCCTATGAATGTTTACTGCGTCTTTAACAAAAATTTGGAAGCCATGAGAGATTATTAGAACCACAGGAGCAGTCACATCTAATCGCTCGACTACTATATTTCTAATCGCTCGACAACAATAGAACGAAGTATGAAAAAATGGACCAAGACATGAATAAAAACCATTAATGATAGACACATTGAACAAGAAGATCATTCACATTTCGTTGTTCACCTTTTTTATCTTTTACATCTTTACCATCCATCTTGCTCGATCTTTTGTATAAAGTTTTTGAGGCATAAAAGAAGCACAGGATTATCCCCTGCAGACACCATAATAGTCAGCGTCTTACGAGATGAATTGCGAATTGTGAAAGACTTGCATATATAGAAAATTCTACAACATCAACAAGAGCTTAACTGTCAGTCTACCATCAAACAAACCCTCTAGAAGACTCCATTCTCCACCAAAATTGTACAACTATTTAGTCAGTTCAACCAATGTGAGTCAGGACCACTTTTTATACTCAATATTTTATTTATAATCTTTATTTAACATTTTCACCTCAAAATCATACATCTCCAAAACCATTTATTCAGCAGTTTTCCTTCTTCTTACAAATTGATAAATATTTTCTTTCTCGTAACATTAAACAGTCAACACTTAAAGATATATGTACACTGTTTATGATTAAAAATATCATATTGGTGAAGAATTCCGTATATGTTGTCTGTTCAGTCCCCTAATAACTTCAGCTCAGATATAATAAGATAACTAAAATCTGACCTTCACTGTGGCCAACAATTGCTGTAATTACATATTTCTGCTCACGGAAGTGTTGAACTACAGCACCCAGGTCTTCAACCTATCTGTAGTAGTTACCATACTGAAATGAAACTTCACTTTTCCTAAAAGACAATGACATTAGTTGTTAGCAAAAATAAGTACTCTCCAATAAACCTTTCGTCTTTAGTATGTACACAGTACACCCTATTCATCTACAAATAGAATTGCTTTTACATTCATGTTTCAGTCCAAGTTTATTTTAGAAAATAAAGCTATGAATGGAAGAAAATATATTGTTGGTGTAATAGGAGATAAAAACTGAGTACTAAGGCAAATTGCGATTTATGCTACTATTTGGTGCATATGTAGGGGAACACTTGAATCTTTAGGAGGTTTCTTTGACACCGCAGCTGATTTGGGATAATATTAGGAATATTGCGAAGCATGTGATCAATTTAAGAGGGTTTCTCCAACATATTATTTGGTTGCAGAGAATGCAGAGGAAGGGAGAGAACCATCGGATTGAGCAACTACTAAGAATTTCTCCCAAACAGATATAGGAGAATCAAATAAGAAGCTGGAAAATTAACATAAAGTACATTTCTTGCTCCAAATGATAATGTATTCCATGGCATAACACAAATTGTTATGTAGGAATAGAGAGATCATTGGGCACATAACAAAATAAAACTGCCAAAGACCGAAGCGAACAAAGAATAAACAGTGCTTACATCTCATTCTCAAGCATGAAGTGCTGAACATAACAAGAATGAGTACTATACTTAACCACACATTACCAGTATCAGTCGTCTCTTTCTTAACTATTTCCAGAAGGAGATTAGCCAAACCCGCTACCAAGACAATGAGTATCCGAAGCATCTAAGCAATTTGCAAATCAATTATTCTCTCTTCAGATTCCAAAATTACCAACCAAAGAAAACCTTAATACAGTTTATCAAGTTCTTTAAGTGCTGTTCTCCACTCAAAAATTGAAATTCTATCTCAGTAACCTATGTCAAACTTTAACGCAAACCATTGTTTCGCAGATTACCAAAGTAAAAATCCAATTCTGAATAGAAAACAACTCCAGAAGCCTGTATGCAACTATATCTAAGCCTTGTCCTTATCTACCACCACACCTTCATCAACCAAACCATCAATGACAGCAAAATCACACGAAGCTCCACTCAAGTCCTCCCATTCATCCATGGGTATTAACAGCCTCCCAAACCAAATTCTTGGGAGCTGGCCCAGAACCATCCCTTGCCTGCAACGCTGCATTTCGCAGTGTCTGAATTGTCAGCACATTGGCCTTCCAAAACGAGACACAATTGTAAGGAAGGTTATGCTTCTTGCAAAGATCCTTAACCAACGGCGCGATCTTTCTCAAATGGCAGCGTGGCAGCCGGGGAAACAAATGATGCTCCACCTGAAACTGCAGGCCACCATGAAACCAATCCATCCAAGCAGAACAGTTCACATCAAGAGTCCCATTAGTCTGCTTCTCAACCCAATCATCACCACTTGGAGGACCAAGGTAAACTTTGGAAGAGAAATGGTTCAAGCAAAACTGCACGTGCTGAATACCTGTCACAGAAAAGCTAACCACAACGAACAAAACCCTCTCCCACCAATTTGGCAAGAAGGAGACTAACAAAGGGTACCAAACCCAAAATGCAAGTAACCCTAAAAGCTCAACTCCTCTGTTCTCCACCTTTCTCTTGGACAACAAAAGGAAAAAAGACTGAGCAAAAAGGTTAACCCTTGCGAAGCACATGACAGGGTAGAAAGACCAATGCTGGTAACTAACCAAAAACCTAGCGAGGGAATCGAAATTGAGTTTTCTATTGTAGAATTTGGAAGTGAGGGAGTTAAAAAATTTAGATGAGACGACGAAGAAAGGCAGGTGCTGAAGATCAGGGTCGAAGTCGAGGCTGTTGCAAGCAATGTGGTGCGCGTTGTGGTTCCACTTCCACCAGGCGATGCTGATCCCGGCGAGCACGTTGCCGGAGAGGATCTGGGCGAAGCGGTTGAAGCGGCGGGTGAGCATGACGTTGTAGTGACCGGAGTCGTGACCAATCCAGCCGCTCTGAATCCAGAGGAAGCCGATCAAGGCGCCGGAGAGCATGTGCACGCACGTGCTCTCCGAGCAGACGACGCCGCAGACGCAGAGAGGGAGGAGGGTGAGGATGAGGGAGAGCAAGATGAGGGTGGTGTGGCCTTTGCGTTCGAAGAGGTTGAGTGCGGAGAGGTGGGAGAATAGCTTGCGGTAGTCGGAGGAGGCAGCGGAGACGGCGTAGTCGGAGAGGCTGAGGCCGGTGGAGAAGGCCGGCAGGAGGAGGGCAGCAGAAGCGGGGTGGAAGGCGAGAAAGGCATCGGTAGCGTCGGTGCCGGCGACGGTGAGGAGGGGGAGAGCGCCGCCGGGGTGGCGTTGGAGCCAGGAGGAGACATCGTAGATTTTGCCGTGGATTGAGATCCACGCGTCGTGCGGCGTGTTGTGGTTGCTCAGCTCGGAGGACGAAATGTAGGATGCGGGAGGCTCCATCGGAAGGGAATGGAGCGTGGTGGTGTGGTTTTGGTAAGAGCAGGTGAGTGAAGGTGAAAAGAGTCTTCGCTTTTTGTAACGCTCCCTTCTTCGTCGTGTCCCGCGAAGGAAAGTGCTCAAAACCTTGATTTAATTTTACGTAACCAATTCTTTATTATTTTTCAAATTTCAAATAACAAAATAACTCCATTCATTTTTCAAATTCACTTATCTTTAACTATTACATTAAATACTAAATAATAAATCAATCAATGAGCACTAACAATACCTTACACAACTTACGAAAAATTCTAGATATTTACGAATAATTATTCTATTAAAAAAAAAATACTGAGTGCAGGATTAATGTTATTCTCCTAAATATTCTCTCTTACGAATCTTCCTCTTTTGTGCTTTTGTCTTATTTTGTTTGACGTTTTAGACAAGGTATTTTTTTTGGTTCTGTTTTGTTTGTTATTTTACATAATTAAATGTTTTTTATTATATTCTTATATATTAAAAGAGAAGAATAAATAAAATAAAATCTAATTTGAGTGGCACTGGTATGAGAGATAAGCAGTGTATTTTAAGGAGGGAATAAATGTTGTAAAATCTTAAATATTAGTTGTGTTTTTCAGTGCCGTGTTAGAACATTCAAGGCCAAATAAAATGCAGGATTAAAAGAGTAAAATGATGAAGATATGTGTATTTAGTAAGACATTTAATATTTTTCAAAATTAAAAAAAAAACAACTAACTGAGATATTATGAAAGGATTTAAAATTATTACTTCTTTCATTTATTTTCAATTTTTATAATTAAAAAATCGTTAATTACTATCATCAATGTTAATTGTACTTTCCACTTAATTTTTAATTAATTTATATTTATGCATCTTGTTTGAAATAAATAAATAAATAAACACATCATATGTTATTGATTCATACAAAAATATTAATTTATTTATACAACTTTTCATATAAACATTAAGTAGAAATAAAGATTACCATGGAGAGGAGTACCACCATGGTATTTGTCTATTATGTTTACATTTGAATCAATGATCTCGCGTGGAGGGAGATAGAATTAAAAAATAATAATAATGAGAAATATAAATACTTTTATAATTTTAATTATGTGATATGACAATAATAAATAAATTTTAAGAAGAAAAGTATTTACTTTTTTAATTGTCACGATTTAAAATATTTTTTTATTTAACGTCAAACACAATTTAATTATTTATTTATTATTTTTATCTTTTACCTAATTTTGCATCAGTGTATATGTGTAAATTTATTGTTTATGTATAAATAAATTTACTATATTTTTTAATTATTTTCTTGATTTGATCATGGTAGAGACCCATCCGAAAAGGACATGTTTGGCTGAGTGGGCTCTCTGCTGCAGCTAAGAAAAAGATTCTTTCCTCAAAAAGCACACTCACCCACAACCACAAATCAACCCAATGAATTGCTTAGACTTTTAGATAGAACATATATTTTCTCAGGAATACATGAACCAAAATGTTAAAATATCCCTTGAAAGTAAAGATTACTTATAAATTATAAATTTACATTAAATTTACGAGATACATAAATATTATAAGAAAAAAAATAAAAAAAATATAAATTTACATTAAATTTACGATATATATAATGATCTCTCCATGCAGCTCATGTCAATGAACATGTGCAAACCCTTATACTTTAGCAAAAGGATGAAAAAAAAATACTAGAAATTGTTATTGGAAAACAGTTCATAAAAGTTGGAGATTTTGATAAGAACTTTTCACTTGGAGGTTTTAATAATGTGTTTGTTCAAATTTATCCATGACTGTGTTTATTCCTTAAAAATATATGAAGATTAGTTTTGTTCTCTCTAAATGTTTTGTTATTTTTTTGAATGTATTATTTATCAGTTTTCAAAGTGTTGTCTAAATCATTTTTTCACTTTATTTTCTTTCAAGTTGTGATACCTTGAACGATGGAAAGTAATACATCTCAAAATTAGAAAGATAAAAATGGACAAAAGAAATTTAAAGAATCTAAAATTGAACTTGAAATATTTTAGAAAGATTAATAATATACTATTTTAATATAATTTTTCATTTACATATACCTTTTTATTACAAATGATTGAAAATCACAATATAATTTTAGATATTAAATAGAATGTCAGACTTACATGATTTTGTAATTTTCATGATGAAAAATATATTAAAAAATTGTATTAGAGAGTGTATATATGTATTCCTATTATTTCCCCTTTAGTAAAATTTTGTAATCATTATATTATTTACATTTTTATTTTTATCATTCTACTTCAAAATATACAGTAATTAAACAAATCAATATAAAAAAAATATAATATGTTTTATATAAATTTCTGGATGAGTTAAGTCTAAGAACTCATCAAAATCGGAGTAGGAATTAAGGCTCATACAAATTATTTTATTAAAAAAAGTAAATTTTATTAACAAAATATCTTATATATACATTCACTTTCTCATCTTACATCTAGCAATTATTAATTACACAAAACACTTTGGTGAGTTAATTTAAACTCTCAAGTTTCACCTATAACTTTTCATTGAAACATTGAAGGTATAAAAATTAAAATGATACTTTAACTTGCATAGAAATTGAAACAATTGACAAAACATGGTCAACTATTATTTTTTTTAATTATGTAGTTTAAAATTTAAGATATTATTTTAAATAGAGAAATACCATTTTTTTTAAATAAGATATCTTATTCAAGTTAAGTTAATTATCAATATGATTTTTTTTCTTACAAAACTAGCACGACTCATGTGGAAGTTTCTTTTTATCATTTATTTTTTTGATTAACTTTTATTAAATACAAATATAACATATGATATTATCTTTATTTTATTTTATTTTACTCACATCCTATTCACTTTCAAAATACACGTAACGTAATTGAACTCCCGTTATATATTTTTTTAGATAAACAGTCAATTTAATAAATATTTTAAATTACAAAAATTGTATTATTAAAACTTAATTGTAAAAAATATAATTATATTTGCAAAATAAGATTTATTAGAAAATAAAAAATTCATGTTTAACGGAACTTAATTTCTTAAATGAACATTAAGGTTTAGATAAAGAAGTAGAAACGTTCTCGATAAGAATTATTTGAAAACTTAATTTAACTAAATATATTAAATGGGAAGAATGAAATATTAACAGATAATTTACACTAACTATGCTATTTTCAATAACTTTTAATTAGATAATTTATTTTTGTTATAATAAAAATCTCTTTATTTAAATCACCCACGACGACAATATTTGGAAAGAAAAGTAGTGATATATATATATATATATATATATATATATATATATTAATTTTTTCTAAAAGTAAAAATAGAATACATATAACAAAAATAAGAACAAAAACAGCATTGTGTAACGTTTTAAATTTACATTAAAATAACAAGCCCAAGATTAGGACAGACAGTAACGAGATGTACATAGTACATGAACTACAACTGTCAGTGGAGAAAATTATTAGCTGTAATAACAGGCTGTCCACTGAAAAATAATAAAAATTTTCTATCACATGAGCACGTAAAAGGGATTTTGTTGATGATAGGAGCACTGCGATCTTCACCGTTAATTTTGAATCAAATATATTTAATAATTATTTAATTTTAAGAAATAAAAAATTATAAATGTAAATTATAAAATTTTGGAAAGAAGGTCATGGTCCTGACTTCTAAAGAAGCTTTACCACATCACGGACACGAGAGGAGCAAGTAGGAGATTGAATGGTTGCTAAGGTATGACACTCAATAGCTTTTTTTTTTACCACGTGGAGAAAATAGGATATTCATTTAATTATACTATTATTTTTAACTGCAGATTATAATACATAATGAATTTTTTTATTTTTATAATAACATTTGAAAAGTTATATTTTTAATGCGTGACCATCTGAAATCGTCTTATAACGTCAATTTACAATTGCTAAATTTGACTTTCTTGTTTAAAGTACAAAAAATTAAAAAGTAATTATTATTTTTAATTATAAGAATAGTATTTCATTTAAAATTTATTCATTATATTAGATATTGTTAAATATTATTTAAATATTATTTGATATTATTAAAATATTGTTAATCACGATATCAAATAATAATTTATGTTTATTTTGTTACTTTTAGTTACTCTTTTAGTTATATCTCTTTATTATAAATAAATTATCCTATGTATGATTTTTACATAAGGAAGATTAATCTCAAACTCTATTTATTCTATATTCAACATGATATCTAGAGTTTAAGGTTATTTTGAAATTTTTTCGCCTTTGACCACTATTGGAACCGCCACCACCGCTGCTATCGTTGCCGATTAAACTGATCTTTCACGTCAGAAAAGAGTTATTTTTGTTATTGAATATTATTTGGTAATGTGAAAGTGCATGTATAGGAAGGTTCTGACAAGGAAAAACTTAGTATTTAAGCATGTCCATTAGTGACTCACCTCTCTTTCCTAGGAACTTACTTAATGTACTGGTTCACGCTGCTGTCACTGCCGCCTCCCCTGCCTCCGCCCTTTATAACTTCTTCCGCTCCTTCTAGTACTTCCAATTATGTCAGTACTGCGTCTGATCCTTCCATCTACACTAACTATGTTAATGTGCACTTATCCATTGACAAGTTAATTGTCCCTAATTATGTCACATGATCATCAGACGTCAGATTATGGCTTAAGCAGAAGTATCTTGATCATCTTGTCCCGAAAGCACCTACTCTCACTCCTGGTGAGGAAGACCGTTGGGACACCATTAATGCTCACTTATGTGTGGTTCTCAAGGGTACTCTTGATCTTTCGTTAAAATAAATTTTTCGTTCCTACAAAACATGTGTTAGACAAATGACATCTAGAGGGGGTGAATAGGTGCACAAATTAAAATAGGTGTCAAATTAAAAATTTATTTGTGAGTCAATAATATGTTTGAACACAGATAAAACGGAAGCGATAATATAAT